ACCCACATGTCTCAGCTCAGATGGTTGATGACTGGACCTTGATCGGGTGCTACCCCCTTCAGACCAGACTGGTTCTCACATTTGATGTTGAGCCCATTTCTAGCTCATGTATATAGTAAGCCCATGGTGGTCCCAACACCATCCACTTTAAAGCCCATCATCACATTTGAAGCTTAGAGCTGCTGAACATCTGACGTTCTGATTGCTGGACAATCTTTGTAATTTCATTTCTTTATTTAACCAGGTAATTGACAGTGGCAGTTCTAGACCACTTTCACTGAGGGGGCCAAACTGGGGCCAGTTGTTTTGTCAGAGGGGAACATTAAACCCAGGAGAAAAATAGACGAAGATGATCGCTTTAAAAAAATAAATATATTATTCCAAAAATAGCGCACATCATTAAATACCATGATTTATATTTGTTTCAGTAAAAGTATTTGATACTAGATTGTGAGTCCTGTTGTTGAGTTACTGTGTATGTGTTTTGAGGGGGGCTCTTCCTTTTGGAGGGGGTGGCCACAGGGCGGACCAAGATCAGTGTTACAGGGGCACTGGCTCCTGTTGGCCCCTGAGATCAAGATATCTTTCATAAAGGTGACCTGGGTAAGAGGGCAGCAGCTCTTGTCATCATAACCATGACATGATGAAGATTATTTTGACAAAGCCTCATTAAATCAAGAATGCTTGAACTCCTTTTTTTTAACTCAAGTAAGAATCACACTTACAACTATTTGGCTTAATTGTTAATCTCTTAAGTCACTATTCCAGCAAATATTTGAAACATTTGGAAACCAAAGAGCGCTTTTTAACCCAGTTGAAACATTTTCTAGGTAAAGTTTTAAATGGGAAAAATTGTGTTTGTCCATCTCCCTAAGGTTACAGGTCATTTAAATGTTTTACTTTTTTGGGCTGTCAGATGGAAAAGATGTGAACACCCCATGTCTGAGATGTCTTTTTACTGTGCTCCGTGTTATGAGATGATAGATCACTGAGAAAAGAGAGCAGCACGTCCAAGTTAAAAAACCCTCCTGAGTTGTAGTCCTGAATGCAACGTTTCCAATCATCTGTCTTTTGGACATTATTGATTAGCCATGAGAACGACAAAAGACAGTTGGTGAATCAGATACCGTATCTCAAATGTCTGACCTGTTCGCCCTGACTCTCTGCAGGTCGACTCAACATGGCGCTAGTGTCTGAGTTTCTGGGTCAACTGACGCTGTCCTATGGAGGGGTGAGTATCCTGCTGACACAGGAAACAGGACACCAGTGCTGCAGAAGGATTGCATTGATCAACTGTTGCAACATTAAGTTTGTTGCGACCTCCTACTTCCAGCGTCTGTGGCAGAGCTTTACTTCATCTTTCTTGAATACTTCTTTCTTAAGAAAAGGTGATAGAGTAAGAAACTGGCGGGGGAGAGAGAGAGGGGGGATGACGTGCAGGAAAGGAGCCACAGGTCCAATTTGAAACTGGGCTGCAAGCTTGGAGGACGAGCCTCCATACATGGAAGTTAATCTTTCTAAATGATATAACTGCACCTATGATCTGATCCTGTATCTTTACTGCCTGAGGCCTCGATAGGATCCATAGTGTTGAAACTCTAAAGCAATTAAAGTGTGGTTTGTTCTCCACCCAGAGTTCACCTGATAAACTGAACACCAAGTCAGAGACTGCAGGCGGATCGATGATTACAAAGATTCAGTCAGACACTGTGGGGGAAATCCTAGAACAATGGAACAATTTAACAGCAAAAGAACAAAAACAGTTTGAATGCAGGATGTTAACTTTGATGTATTGTTTTTTTAACTTAAATTAACGACCTGAACAGTTTACCCGTAACTAATGTTGGCCTTACAAAGAAGGGAGACCAGGTGTCATTACTATCATCTCTAGCTACTGTCTCATCATGATCAGCAGCAGACTCTGAGGTTAACATGTCTGTTTGTCTCCGTCCTCTGCAGGAGGCAGAGCCCATATATCCCACTGTGGTGTCAGTACGGGACTTTGACCCGGCCAAAGATGCTGCAAGGCTCGAGACGGCCATCAAGACCAAAGGTGAGAGGGTGCAACAACTCAGTCAACTTACTCTAAAGACTGACTTCTAGTTTATTCATCGACGAACAAACTCATCAGGGATTAAATAATGCAGATAAAACTGCTTTGAAGAGGTACTTGTTACGCTAACTCATTAAACTACTGTTCTGTTACAACTCGATAAAAAAGTAACAGTGTTCTTCAAACGATAAAAGATTTGTTACAGGCGAGAAAACTGCAGACGAGATAGTCTTTAAAAAAAAAACGTGTGCTGTTAAATAACCACCCTGAGTTCACCCAGCTCGTGCAGCTACAAGTGCGATGTGATCTTGGGCAAGACACTTAACCCCAAGTTGCTCCTGCTGCTTCGTCGGCGGTGTATGAATGTGTATAAACGTGATTAGTGACTTCTGATGGACTCTTTACACAGCAGCCTCTGCCATCAGTGTGTGAATGTGTAGGTGTGACCTGCTGTGTAAAAGTCTGTAGACTAGAAAAGAACTAAACCGGGTCAAGCTCAGGTCCATTTACCATTTACTTTTTAATCGCTGGATGGAAACCTGGGCGCTATGTTCATGATTTCATATAGTTTTGATGCAGTCAGATGAAGTTGAAGCAGATAAAATGGTAACAATTAAAATGTGGGGAAAAAAACTGCCTTTGGTTTTAATTTTGGATTCAGAAGAAAACACGATGCAAACTTGGGCTACACATGAAAACTGTGAGTTAAAGCTAATATGCACTCTTTAATATTTCTTTATCACACTTTATATCATTATTGGTATACTGGACAATGTTACCGCACATTGCATATTTTGCTCATATTGTGCAGGCCTGCCTTATAGACTGTGGATCATAGGCTTTATGTGGTAATTGTGTTTTTGTCTTGCTCTGTGCAGTTTTCACTTTTCTTTGTGTACAGTGACTCAGACTCTGATTCCATCCTGTTACAGTCTGATATCAGATTACAAAGTGGCTTCTATCCACCAATGAGCTGTTCAAACCACAACAGCATGTTTTTCTGGTCAGATCAGAGACCATCAAAGTTTGTGTACCTTCTCTGAATATGCTTCTGACCCCTCAGCTGAGTGTGTGTGTGTGTGTGTGTGTGTGTGTGTGTGGAGGGGAGAATCTTCCAGGTCTGACTCTGCTGTGATTACTTCCTGTATCTGAGCTGCTGCAGGATGTTGTTTAAAGGCTCAGTCTGTTAAACAGAAGCAGCTGATTTTATTAAGAGTATCAGAGTGTACACAACTTAAAAAATGAACTCTTTCCCGCACAAACAGCTGAGACTTGTTATCTCTTATGTAAAGCCTTGATTGAATCAAATCCAGGGTTGGTTAGTTTAGTGAAGGAACATTGTTTGGATTAAAATAGTTTCTTGGTCCTCGTGGTTACTTCAAAAGTTACAACAACCAGAGGCGCTGCTTGTCAACAGGCTTCTTAAGGCCCCAGACCAGTAGGGGCCCTTGAGGGCTGACTTCAGTGCCTTAAGGTTGCCCCATCTGACTGCACTCACTCTCATTGCCCTGCTTAGCGTGGCATGCTTTGAAAACCAAAGTTTGTCAATGAAAGTCAACAAAGGGAAATGAAGAGGAATGATCTCTCTGGGAGTGAATAAGAAGAGGAGCAAAAAGGTAGAGGAGTAAGCATCAGGACATTGGCAGGCATAATGGTGATGTTCTCTGGTTGGAGGTGGCCCCCAAAGGATATCTGCCTATAGGGCCCAACAGACTGAAGAATCACCACTGATAATGACAATAGGGTGCCGGCTAGCCTAGTGGTTTTGACTCTTGCCCCATGTACAGACTACAGAGGCTGCAGTCCTGGTCGCAGCGGCAGTGGGTTCTGGCCTCGGTCCTTTGCTACATGTCGTCCCCTACTCTCTCCTCCCTACATTTCCAGATCCTCTTCAGCTGTCCTATCCATTTAAGGCAAAATCGCCCCAAATTATAACTTTAAAAAAGTTACAACAAATAAAAAGTACAGATTTATGCCTTTTTTATGTAATTCCTAAGAGTACTGTAAATTGAAAGTCAATAAACCACTATAGTGGATTAAAATTAAGATGAATAAATAAAAACAGTTACCACTTTTTTCAAATAAAATAATCTATATGTATTAAATGTGACAGTCATTAACAAAATGTTTCTCAACACTTCTTAGAACACTTCAGGCCCTCAAGCTTTTAATGCTGAACCTATTTAATCTAAAATGAAATCTTTATTCAATTCTGCAGGTGTGGATGAACAGACCATCATCGATATCCTGACCAGGCGCAGCTACATCCAGCGGAGAGAGATCGCCTTTGAATATGAACGAATCGCCAAGAAGGTTCAAAATTTTTCTTCTGCATAACACAGATTTACCTTTCATATACAGACCTCCACTCAGAGGATGACACAACTATTTAACTCATTTTTAAGGAATTTTCTTACCAAGTTGTGTGCTACTGCATCATTTCAGGATCTGAACGCAGCCCTGAAGGGGGCGCTGTCTGGCTCTCTGGAGGCTCTGATGTTGGGTCTGATGAAGAGCACCGCTCAGTACGACGCCACTGAGCTCAAAGCCTCCATGAAGGTCAGAGTCACACCTTTTAGAAAGTAACTACGTACATTAACTCAAAATATCATACTTATAAATGAGGTATTTGTTGTTTTAAGCTGTCTTTGGTTTGATATCACCGTCCTTCACTGAAGAGACATTTCCCCTCTAAACTTCTCACATGGTTTCATTGCAATGATTGTTTGAGGCTCAAATTGGTTAAATTGATATTTAAGATAAGAACAGCCTAAACTTAAAGCCACTGAGATAGATGGGTTTATTTACTAATTGACGTGCTTGCCTTGGTGTCCTTAAGTCTTCATGTTTAAAGTAAGGAGTCTTACCTGCTGGATTTTGATGTCTCAGGGACTGGGAACAGACGAGGAGACCCTCATTGAGATCGTCTGCTCCAGGAGCAAAGACGAACTGGTGGATATCAAGAAAGTTTACAAAGAGAGTAAGTGAGAAAATCTAGTTTTTTAAAATTATAATCAATAAACCAGCAAGAAAATGTATCACTTATAAACAATGAAACATAAAACAAAACCACTCTATGACACCATCTAGTGGCAGCTGTAGAAAACTACAGTACCAAACCATAGTACGCTGGTACCAAAACATATACTGTATTTTATGTGTAAATTACATCTGTTTATAAAAACACCTTGATTTATCTTTTTCATCTGCTGGATTGACAGACATTAGGGTGAATCATCTGGACATTTTTACATAAAATGTTTCTGGTATATCACATGTCAATATTTAATTACAAAATCCCATTTATCAGGAATAAAAAACACGTTTCTATCACCAAATCAAAAAAAAGTAGGATACCTTGAGTAGAACTATCGAATGCTACAGTTTGCATGCTAAGGTTTTTTCTTTTTGCACTTTCTACTGCAAACGCTCTCTCCTTATTGAAAACAATTGAAAAAAGATGCTGGCGAGGACAATGAGCCTCAAGCTAGCTGTTTAATGTTAAAGTGTTACGAGCACTGTAGCATGTTAGCTAACTCCCTTGTGCTAACTACAACAACAAAAAATGATCTGGCTAGAAGCTTTTGAAGCACATTAGCTCTAGTACAGTATTACAGGTGTATTCACCTTGGATTGTTTCATAATGTCTGTTTGTTTTATTTCCCTCTGTAGCGTTTAAAAAGGATTTGGACAAAGACGTGGCAGGAGACACATCAGGAGACTTTGCCAAACTGCTGATGGCTCTGGTGCAGGTATGTGAGCTTTCCCAATGCTAAATGCTAACATCCAGAACAACAACATTTTTGCTTTCACTGTATTTTAGTAATTTTACTGTATTTGTAAATATTATTTTATCAACAACATGTGTGTGTAATTGGAGTATACATTTAAAAAGTTTGTATTGTGCAACTTGACAGTTTTTGACCTTTTCTAAAGGTGTAAGCTGCATGTGATAAAAAGGTGAAATTCCTCTCAGAGCACATAGACGTTGTTTGATTATTATTATTTCATTAGTTGTCTCTACAGTACATGTAACTACACCAGGGTTAGCTTATTGGCATCTGTTGTCCCTGGGCAGGTAGCAAACAAATACATAACAGCAAGTAGGCTACATCATCTAAAACAACATAAAAGAGCCATGAGCGGAGAAGAGCATACTGGCGACAGGAAAAGAAAATGCAGCCGTTTAGTAATGTGCACAGAGATCGTAGTGGTCGCATGTGTTCACTCTATGCACCGTGCAGCAGATACAAACATAACTCCGCCCTCCCATTAGCTCGAGGTGAATTCTCCTTAGAATATCCTGCTGCATTCTCACATCAGCTCACTTGGACTTGCTACAGGAAAAATACTAGGAGTCTGGCAGGAGAAACTCTGTGTGAAGTCCGAGCGAAAAGTTTATCTGTTTGCGTTCACACTTACAGCTCCTCCTGGAAATATCAAGAGTTTTCTGCAAGTGTGAAAGCCGTATACAACACCAGGTTGCTTTTAATTTGAACATCGATCAATTTGTTTTTCTTTATTTACAGACAAAGCGAGATGAGCCCTCAAATGTGGTCGACTATGAGAAGATTGACGAGGATGCCAGAGTGAGTCAAACTATTCACTGTATTTAAAAAATGTTCAGTTTCTTCTAGAAGAAAACAGTTGTTTTATGTACTGTTCTCCTATTTGAAATGTTCTCGTCGTATAATTGTAGACTGTATTTGGAAACTATTTTTGACATGTGAAATGTTTATCTGTATCATAATGTTGTAATTACTGATACATTTGTTTATAACTTTTTTACTTGTAACCACTAAAATTCTTCCAATTGGGATTAATAAAAGTTTATCTAATCTTCTCTCATGTGATCCCGTCAGTCTCTGTATGAAGCCGGGGTGAAGAGAAAGGGAACTGACGTGGCGACCTGGATCTCCATCATGTCTCAGAGGAGCGTCCCCCACCTGCAGAAAGGTGAGCTGCTGAAATTTAGATTCAGTGCCGATGTTTTCTGCCTTCTACACCGATTACATGCTTTTTTATATGCATGTTTTTTCAGTGTTCCAGAGGTATAAGAGCTACAGTCCTTACGACATGAAAGAGAGCATCAGGAAGGAGGTGAAGGGAGATCTGGAGAAGTCCTTCCTCACGCTGGGTAAGAAAAAGATAGATTTTAAAGGACTATTCCACTTTGATTTCAGTTTTCGATCATTTCCTGCATACACACTGCTGCAGTCCAGCATTTAAAGGTCACATATTCTCCTCCTTTTCAACCAGTGTAAATAAGTCTCAGAGCTCCCCAAAACATGTGTGTGAAGTTTCTTGTTCTAAATCCACTCTGATCCTGTATTTGATCATGCCTATAAACCCCTCTATTTCAGCCCTGCTCAGAACAGGCTGTTTCTGTGTCTGTACCTTTAAATGTAAATGAGCTGTGTCTGACCACGCCCCCTCTCTGGAAGGGCTTGGGTGGCTCGGGGCTTTCTCGCTCCATGTCCTATTGTTTACGGTGAGAAGGCAGACATCTGAAGGCAGACAGATGTTAGGACAAACACTTAGCTGTGGGAGTGTCACCCACCTGGGGGAGGGGTTACTGCCCTTTGTGATGTCATGAGGGGAAATCTCCAAACGGCCTGTTTGAGCACACATTTTCTGAAAATTGGAGCAGGCAAAATATGGAGAGGATGGACTTTTCCCATAGTTGGTGTTTTTTTTTAGTCAGACTAGGGGCACATACGAGTGTTAGAAAACATGGTAAAGTGGATTTTGCATAATATGTGACCTTTTAACTACAGTGGAATATTTATTTCTTTTTAAACGGACCTGTGTATTCTCTCTTCACAGTGGAGTGCTTTGAAAACAAGCAGCTGTACTTTGCCAACAGACTCAGTGAAGCAATGAAGGTACATTTCATAGTTTTGTACAGTGACAAACACTTTTACTGTTTGTGGTACCTATACTTTCCTTTTTTCATATCCTGTGTATGTGTTGTTCTTTAATTGTGCAATATAGTATTTATTTAGCAAATGTTTTGAATACTTTTCCACCACTTGGTTTACCCACCTTGTTTTTTTTATCAAGTTATACTGCAAACACCTGGCTCTAATGTCTGTCATCCTCCATCCTCATCGTTTTCCCTTCATCTCTGCAGGGTAAAGGAGCGAAGGACAAGGTGGTGACCAGGGTCCTCGTTTCTCGCTGTGAAATCGACCTGATGAAGATCAGATCAGAGTTCAAGAAGCAACACAAAAGATCGCTGTACCAGACCATAACTGTGAGTAATAGTCTGTGTGTTTGTTGTTATTATCAAGTTTCAAAGAGGACATCTTCAGGACATTCATTATTATATTAATCATTTTGTCTTTGTTTTTCTTCCAGGAGCACACTAAAGGAGACTACCAGAACGCTCTGCTGAGCCTGTGCGGAGGAGATGACTGAGGCCTCAAATCTGGCTGGACTCAAGTTTCCCAGAAGCCCTGTTGGTTTTCATCTGACTGCAGATCTTCTAACAGTATTAGAGCCTTTTTGTCTTTAAGTCAACATGAAACCGATGATGTGATCTCCATCTCTCTGAGCAGCTTCCGTTTGTGAAATAAAACCTTTTCACCTGTTTGTGTTTGTTTGCTTTTTGATTATACGGCCAGCAGAGGGCAGCAGAGACTGACTCAGAGTTTACTGAAGCTTTGAGGAGACGTTAATGACTCAGGTCTATGCTGCACATGCTCACTCACAGTAAATAGATAAAAAACACAAGAAGACCCTTCAAAATAAGAGTTCCCTTTTTGGAAACAGGGTTCTTCTAGGTTTAGGAAACTGGGGAAAGAGAGAGTAGGGAATCACATGTAGGAAAGGGAGTCAAGATGTAATAATCCTGGGTCGCCCGCTTTGAGGACTGCAGCCTCTTAACACGGGGTGCGCAACTCTCGGCAAACCAACGCCCCTGCATTTCATATAGAGTACATACCTTTCAGAAGTGATGGATTGTGTGTATTTGTTGCAGGCTGGAGAAACCGTAAAGACACAGGATGAACTCAGAGGTATTTGTTCAGTAAAGATAGAAAAAAGTATTTTAATACATTATGTTCAACATATCCAATTGCTTTTTCCAAGATTGGAAAATAATAAATTGCAAATACAGTGTATAAATAATGTACTTCCAACGGAAGGAGATCATGGCTTAAACCAGGGGTAGGGAACCTTGTTCCTATCAAGGCCATTTGGGTATTATAGCATAAATTTTCCATCTAAATTAAGTTGCTTTTTATTGGTCGAACTACCCGTAAGGTCGGCGTCAGAGGGTCACAGACTTGAAGATTTCACTGTCGGACTCCAGGAACCAAAAAGAGTCAAGCCTTTAATAAAGTAAAGGAACACGCTGAAGAATTGAATGTGATTTGATCATGACCTTTTAATTCAAAGCTTGCAGTTTTGTGTTGCTTTACTGGAATTAAGCGATTACTTTAATGTTGTCATGCGTTTGTGACTGAGCACTTGTTAAAACCTGATAAACCTGTTGGATCTTTGAGGACTTTATTGTTGAATTTAAAGGGGACATATTATGAAAACTCATATATTTGGGTATCCTGAGTGTCTACTGACCCACAAAATGTGAAATTAACCCAGCCAGTTTTTGTTTGTGGTCTGTATAAGTCTTACAACATAGAGAAAA